TTAATTATAATATTATATAGTCCCAAGAAGACAGAAAGATCAGGTCTCTGTCTTTTGGAAAATTTAAAATATGTTTTAAAAGGGAAATGCAGAAGATAGATTGTTACAAAACTGGTTTGTATTTGCACAGAAACCTGACAGCTAAAATACAAATGAAAACTTTTTCTACATTATTAAGGAAATGACGTTTGCTATCAATAACAGAACAGTAACATATTTTGATTGCCGTTCTGATGGAAGAGATACTGTATCGTTCTCCCTTTCAACTTAAGAATGGAATTCTAAGCTTTTCTAATTTATACTGTGAGTTTTACAGGGCTTTTAGTTTACATAACCCCACCTCTCATGGAGAAATATTGAAATCATCACCTTTGCTGATCAACAGATATAATTTTGGTTTTAGTTTTGACAGTTTTTACATCAGCGTAGGGTAGCTCAGTTGCTTGATTTTTGAACATATTTTCAATTTTATTAGTATTAGGTTTTCTTTTTCTTTTTCTAATTTGTAGAAGTATTATTTTTTTAAGATAATGATGATGTCTCTCACAATTTGGGTAGCTTCTTTTCTCCTTTCTCAGAGGACTCTCTCCTTTCTCAAAGAGTGCAGTTTACATGATGAAGTTTCAGACAATGTCCTTATATAAAATATAAAAACAATGTCCTTAGTTCCATTTTCCACTTAGTTCCAATTTCACTGAAATTTTTGCGAATGAAGACAACCTGGAAAAAATTACTGATTGAATTTTCAGCTGATAATGCAAAACTATTGCAAGAAATTTAGAAATAGTATCAGCTATAAGCTGAAGGAAATACATTCTTATAGCCTGTTTCTTGACTATTGTATAATGAAGAGAGTTGTAATGGGGATGAATAAAGCCTTTTGTTGGCTTGTTTCTTTTGATTCAAGTGAATTTTTGAAAGTATATTGAGTAATTAAGCAGTTTGAGATAAATGTTATATTAAATCAGTTATATACATTGCAGAAAAAAAAGAAGTTACAAGAGTTTCAAGGGAAAAAACATTTTGGACTAAATTGGCACTACATATAATTTTGGGGGGGATTTCTGGCAAAACAGAATCTGGCTGGTATAAAATATAATACTTGTAAGATATTGAAGAAATAAGGCCCTGCTAGCTGTCTGCTTATACATATTTTTATGTTATTCAATTGTTTGGTAATTGTCCAATTTTGATTTGCAGTTTTATTCATATAATTAAACATAATTCTTGTTTTAAGCTATAGTTATGTTGTGAAAAGACATATCAGGCTTCAGGATGTTATTAGAGCCTTATTTTTACTCTTACAACATCAGATTCCTTATTGTAATTCATATTGTGTGTAAAGAGACTCTGGCCTGCTCTTGCCATAGCAACCACATCTTTTCTTTTTAATAAAAGCAAAAGGAAAAAAACATCCTTCAAATGATAAAGCCTAATTATTAATTTTGGGAAAGTTATCCTTTGATTTACCATTGTTATTCCCTTCAGAAGGGAAAATGTTGATTAGAAAATCTCTTGCTGGTACCAAATTATCCATTGTAGCATGTCTCTTAAGCACTGTTGTGAGAGGGAAAAGACAGAAATTAAGGCCTCCTTCTGAAAAGCATCCATGGGTAGGAAAGATAAATTATATTTTTGATTTATCTTGTAAGCTCCCGGTTACCCATGTTGGAATACACAAATTGTGCCCCGTTTTTATAGATGTGTGTATGTAGATGTAATATGGTTTCTCCATCCTGCTGTAGAATTTTTTAATAATAATACCACCACCTGAGATGCATGATAAAGATTCTATAAAATTTCTTATTGGTTCAAAACCTTCATCTTCCTCTTGGCCTTTACATTCTAAATCTTCTGCCGTATGTGCTTTTTCTCCATCTCATCAGCAATTAATCTCTGTCTCAGTGCATCAGCTTTATTCCTGGCCTCCCACGTTTATTTTCTGCGTTATCCGTGTGCCTCCTGCAATTCCGTCTTTTTCCCACCTTTCATGGAAGCCATAATGCCCATAATTTCCGTGACAGTGAGTCCAAAAGTCCCGTGATTATTTGTACATGTGACATGTACACAGGCTTGAACCAGACTTGTGGAGACACTTGGAGTGCTGGTAATAGGTCGCTTCCCCTCCTACCTCTTTTCTGTAGGCATTGTGTCCTCAGGCAGGTGTTAGTGTAATTCTGCTTTGCTCCAGCTATTAATAATGGGAAACGTTTTAATAATTCATGTAAAAATGGTCTAAAGTGTGGGTGTTTTTTCCTGGGAAATAATCATTTTCATCTTGAACTCAGATATATGCTTATAAAGCAGATTTCCTATTATGATTTGAAGTAGGATTTCCTCAGCTACTATAAACACATCAAATTATTCTGTGGGTGTGAAAAACCCAAATACCTTATTACAGTGCAGGTGCTTTTAAGACAGTGAAATACCTGTGTAATTCAGAGCATCAAAAGAGCAGATCTGACAGATTAATAAAATACTAAATTAGGGAGGTCATTTTCAGTTGCATAATAGTCTATATTCTCCCTGTCTTGTCAGTCGGAGGAGCCAAATGAGGACTGAGAAGCAGTACTCAAAACTCCTTAACAGAACTAGCTACTTGTAACAGGGGTCTCCAACTATCTCACATTTCACAATTTCGTTCAGCTGAATGGGATCCGAGACTTGCTTTTATTATTTTAAGGTAGGTCAATGTACAAAAGAATCCTACAATGGATATTACTATCCATATATGTTATTAACTAAGTTTTATTAACTCCTGATATATGAAGAAATGCATTCTATTGTTATATGAGTGGAAGGTGCATTGTTAAGAATATCCTGAGACTGGTGATTACCTTCTCTTTTATGTAGCATTAAGTAGTCAGATTGACTGTGCACAAGCTTTAAATATTTTCAAGAAAAACTGGAGTTTTTCAACATGTTTTTCATTAATTATGCCTCAATTTATATATATATATATATATATATTTTTTTTTTTTTACTCTCATTTGGAAGTACAGCTTCAATAGCTTCTGCTTAGCTAAACAGTATCGATAGGTATTGGGTGACTAAAAGAAATGACATGCCAAGAAGATTTTACACAGCTTAATTGTCATTGTAAAGTTGGTTTCTTCCAAGCTCAGTGCCCTCCACCATTATCCTGTAACCACCTCGGCAGGTATGAGTTTGTTCACATACGCAGTCTGTGCATTGTGAGACCCACCTGGGTGTAGGATTTTGCCATAGTGGATTTTTGTGCCAAGGCTTAACCTGAGCTGCTTACTGAAAGTGACTTACCAACACGCAATTCAGAGAAGCTGCACATGTAATTACTATAATAAAGGCCTTTAAATAAATGAATAAAATTCTTTTAAAAGTGACATCCATTAGTATGTAATAGTAATATCATAGGTAATGACAATAATGTTACAAGCTTAGTAAAGAATATTACAAATGGTATTGGGTTGTTGGTGAAGTAGGCAAACGCTGAATTACAAATGCAGTTGTACAGGTCCTGCTGAGTCAAGCCAGATTTCTTACAACTGCTTTCGTATTAGCAGGGGGTACTTTTTAGCCTACCACAGATTTGATATTCCTCTTGCTCTACTATAGTGCAGATAAGGTTCAAACTCAAAGCCACTGAGACACAGCTGTGCCACAGCTACAGCGTTCAAGCACGGTCAGGCTCCGGGACTGGGATTTTAAAGCCTGCTAAGGTGTGTTTTAAGAGTGCAAAGAGCATTTGCTTTGGAGCTCACCAAGGTAGCTCTGGGCAGGTCATTCTGCCTACATATTGCCATGCCCTGCAGAGAGATTATCCCAGGCCTGGAAAGCCAGATGCATGCGTTAGCAGAGAGATGTGCCTGGCCTAATTAGCCTTGATTTTCAGCAGGGCCCCTTGGCGGGGCTGGCTCAGCTAGAGCACAGCTGATGGGGCTGTGCTGCTCCTGCATCCTCTGGCGTAACGTGGGCAGCTCAGGGACCCTGCGCTGCACACCGTGTGTTGTACACACGGCTCCGAGGAGCCTGTGCGTGGCTCAACTACATTCCCCATCAACCTAGCTAAAAATGATAACTGTATTTTATATAGCCTGTATGGAGCGTTACATTTATGTTCTTTAATATGTATTGAACATGCTGTGGTTTGCAGGAACTTCTATAAGATTTACTTAAGCATAGTACTTTGAAGGTGTTTGGGAAGCTTTCATTATGTAATTACTCTCCAGTTGCAGTTCCAGTAAAATCATACGTTATTCTTCAAAGACTTTTTGTAATTTCTGTTACATAATTAGATTAATATCAAGATAATGAGAATGGTAATATGCATTTTTGTTTCTGTTGGTTATCTTTCTGATCACCATTGTCATTACTTTCTATGGTGAAAAATCACTGAAATATTTCAGAAGGCATCTACATTGTGTAACACACCTATTGGGACATTCAAGTGTTTGCTGTGTGCTCACACCATTAAATTCATATTACTTGACCTACATTTCGTATCTCTGGAGCTAGCCATTACATAAAACTGCGTGTTTCCTTAGCAAGTACAAAGCATTCAAGATTGTTTTTTTAATATATACACACACACACACACACGTGCATATATGTTAGTCTTGAATGTATATGTGTGTGTGTGTATTTATATATTTAAAATGGTTTCAAAGAGGGGTTTGGTTTTACAAGAGCTCAGCAGTACAATTGAATTGAATGGTCAAGACAAATTTACAGATTTACAAAAAAGGACAAATTATCCTTGATAAAAGCAGGAGTAAGAACACTGAAAAGTTTCCTTGGTGAAGGAAACTTTTGAGCAAGAAGATTTTTGGAACTGAATTCTGAATAGGACTAATGAGGAAGAGCCACATTTACAGACATATTTACATTCTGTGCCCATATTTGGGAAATTAGAATTTGGGATATTGTACAGTGTTTGCTTTTGTCGACATGTTAATTTAACCTACTATGTAAATAACCTCGGTATTTATTATCTAATGCTGCCTGTGTCTTTCTGTGTTTAGTTTTGAGCATCGGTGAAGGTGGCTTCTGGGAAGGCAGTACCCGGGGACATATAGGATGGTTTCCTGCAGACTGTGTCGAAGAAGTTCAGTGCAAACCGAATGAAATCAAACCAGGTAATCGGATCAAGTTCGTTTTGAGTTCCTAACAGGGATAAATGCAATGTATCTGGATAAGCTAAATGGCAGCCTGGATTGTAGTGCGTTCACCAGCAAAGCTTTTGTGCCACACTAGAAATTGGAGAATTAAATAAAGCTGGTCTGCTGAACAAAAAAAATAAAGATGGGTTTATTGACCAGGTTTTACTGGATTCTCTCCAGGCAAACAGTCTTTTCTTTTCGTGAGGAACTGTGCTGTGGAGTAAAGCTAAAGCACTTATGGACAAATGCATGCAGATGGTGTGTAAAGCACTAGGCTGCAGCTTGTTTTCTTAGAGCAGAGGAGCATTGCTCGTTAAACAATTAAATGGTGAAAGAAAAACTGGTCAATGATCTCCCAAACCGTATTAAAAGGTTGGACTGTATTAAAAGGTTGGACTGTATTGTTCGTGGCAATCACATTTCCTCCATTCCCTCTACTGAATTTTAGAGGAGACGCGCATGAGCAGAGCAACAATGGCAAAGGAAACAGCATTTTCCTTTATTGTACATTTGTACTGCCGTAAGTAAAGCAAGACTGATCTAAAGCAAGCAAGTCTTTACAGTTCCGATATTACACAAAAAAAAAAAAAAGAAATGTTATTTTAAGAATTATCTCAGTATGTTAGTTTAAACATTATCTAACATCTCATATTTTCTCTGCGTTTAAGAGTTAAGATATGAAGACATCCTCTGTAATTAAAAGCTCATTATAAATGAGCTCCAAGAATAAAATTACAGTTCTCCAAAAATGTGTGCAGTTTTAAATTAAATACTGAAATGTTTGGGATTTCTGAGGTGTCGATTAGGAACTTCCTGGGGCTGCACAGGCATCACATGGTAATTTATGCATAGGATCATGCATTCATGAACATTACTTGTTCATGGCAATACTTGTGTTTGTCATTATCGACTTCATAATTTGAATATATATATATGTTTTGGTATTTGTGTTGTATAAACAGGGTAGAATAGAAGGTAGAATGGAGTAGAAGGCAAGAAACAGTATAATAGCGCCAGAGTAGTAAGAAGCTGGAGATATTTAAAACACTTGATGGTTGTTTTGATTTTCTTGGCTACAAAGGAAGTTGTGGTGAACTGGAATAAAATTTGAGGGATAAGCAAAAGAAGAGGCAAAAAGATAGCTTTTATGATATGAAAACTTAATGAAAGAAAAAGTGCATGAGACATCAGGGACACTATTCTAGATAACTGAACGCTGTGAAAATGTTTTACTTAATCTTCCTCTTGCCTTTTGAGACAGAAAAAGGGACAAAAACAAATCTAATATTTGGAAGAAGTGGATTTAGGCTTTAACATAGAGAAATAATAATTGTGTAGCTTTTCAAAAGGCTTAAAACAAAGCAGAATTTAAAGGTTTGGAGCAGTTTCAACTTGGAAGTGACAAACACAGGAGCAGTGGCAAACCTAGCAGCTATTAAAAATTAGACTTAAAAAAGAGAATAACAAGTTCTTATGTGATTTCATTTGTTGTCAACATTAAGGAAGAAGGATATTATCTTGGTTGGAAAGAATGAAACGTGAGCTACTGCAGAGCTGCATGTGAAATGTTTAGAATATCCTTCAATAAAATCTTGTCTCTTCTTCAGAAAGATGTAGGCCAAGGTAAAGGAGGTCATCACAAACACCTCTCTTCTGTCAAGGACTGCAGCAGTGCATTCAATCTGCGCTGGGCATTTATGTGCCAAATAGGAAGAAAGAGCTGGGGAGAGATATTAAGTGAAGTTCTAAAATACAAAAGGAGTTTTGAGTCATCTTTAAATAAATAGAATGGTTTTGAAAAAAAGAAGGTAATCAAATCTGTTTATTATAAGTCCTTAAAGATATTTTTCACAAAATACTATAGTAAGAAAATTTAGGATATGACAAGACTATTTTGGTATGACAAGAATGTTTTCAAACAAAAATCAAGTTATTCTTTGATCATTCTAAGGAAAATGAAAATTAAGAAAAAATCGTTGCAAGGTTAGCAAAAAGATTACTGTAGCTGGAGGTGTTAAAAGAATATCAAGTGAAACATCTTACAGACTTTGTGACGTGAAACCACAAAAACTTATGCATGTGTTTGGCAAAAGAGCAGAGCTTTTACTCTAGTTTATGCCTATTGTATCAGTCTTTGAGGCTGTTTTTCTATACATACATTGTGAATAATTATGTTAACATTGGACTAAAGCATTTAAATATTCCATTTTTCCACTTCAAGGAAAAGTATAATTATATAAACACAAAATGGGAACATTTTCTATAAAACCTATGAACCTGTTCATTCACATGTTTGTTTTGTGGATTGTCATGCACAATCTGGCATTTGGTCCTGCATCCAAAAGGCAGAAATGAGGTACAGTACTTTTGTGCGTAATGTGATATGAATATGGAAATGTGAATAGGAAGTATACAAAATCCACAATGACTGCTGTATTATTATTGAAATATGGTATGGACTGGGAGCAGCTTGGCGCTGAACTGCTCTGCAGAGTTAAGGGTTCTTTCTTTTTTGCACAGGAAACACTGAAAGTGGAAGGCGAGAACTTTCTAAGCAAAAAAAACGGTCAGTGCTCCCTCTAAGTGCCAACGCAAAAGTAATTTAGAAAAAATGTGTTAAGCATGGTGGAATGATTAGAAAATAAATTAGGTCTACGGGGACTATTGAAAGGATGTCAGTGGAGAAACATCACAAACTTGTGCAAGTTGCAAGAATTTGCATCATACTTCACAAAGCAGCAGAACTTCTTATGATAATGATTTAGAAAGTAGATCAAGTTTGAATAATTGAGCTTAATAGTAGCTTGTCATTTGCGTGCTATGAATGAAAGAAAGAGAAATAGTTCTTGGAAAAAACAAACCACAATTAAACACTACATGCCCAGTAAAACTGGCGGGCAGGTGTTTCATGTCATGCTGATGCATAATCTCATCTCTTGAAGACAAGCTGAATTTCTGGAAACTTCATTGCCACCCAGACTATTCTGTAGAAGCAGGCAGTGCAGAGAGGCACCTGGTTCCTCTGATCTTCTCAAAGATGCCATGCTAGGTTGGCAAGTCCTGCTTTCCAAAAAAAAAAAGAAACTTGAGTGGCATTAATTCTGTATCCCTTCTTTAATGCTTCGTTAATTGAGTCTTTTAGGAACAGTCCCATTACTTTGCTAGGATTGATGCCAGACTTACAGGCTCTTAATTATCCAGGTTGTCTTGTTCTCATTTAGCTTTTAACAGTCGTGGCACAGTACCTGCTTTCTTTCAGTCTTTTTGTCTCAGTTTCCTCAGTAGTCCAAGATCTAATGAAAAAAAGAATAATGATAAAGTCATTAGCAGCGCTCTGCTAGGCTCCTTTGCCTACTTTTTAAAAAGTCTATACAAAGTCATTGTAATACCTCTTTTTAAAAGATGGTGGTCAGCTTTTAACCCTCTCCTATTTTATTAAATGGAAAGCATTTGTTCAGATGAGCTTAATACACCGTCTTCTTTTTTTCCCCCCCCACACAAAGAGTTTGTGTGTATTTATATAGATAGACAGATGTATTATAGCTTCTTTCTGCAGTGACAGTTTTCTTATTTTATTCACTGATGAACAAACTTCATTGTTAAATTTATTTTTATTACTAAGTATGTGAAAATATTGTGTTTTCATGATGAAATAGACTGGGTAAAAGAGTTTTCTGACAAGACAAGCTGGGTAGGTATAAAATTGAAGGCAACAGAGTGCTGTGCAATTGTGAGGCACTACAGTTAATAGACATCTTAACAGGATTTATTAGGTAAGTGCTATTGATGCTGCTCAGAGAATCACAGGTCATCGTGCATATTTGGCAGCAAGAGTTTGCATCTGCTGAAATACAGTATGTGCTGTAGCTTTGTTAAATTTTTCTGCTTATAAGAGTACAAGGTTTTTCTTTTCAGCAGTTTATTCTGCTCATCAAAATTCATTGTCCTGAAAATAGTAAAAACTCATATGTAATGTTTTCCATTGGGAAATGAAGTACAGAAAAATCCATTATCCGTAAAATCAACTGTCTCAGCAATAGATGATATAATTTTTTTCACCATACTTAAATACAGGTACTTCCATTTGCCTTTTTTTTCCTTCATCGTGGGGTATTAGTCTAACTTGAGATATTTTCAGCCAAAAGAAAAAAAAAGAGTCTTGTTTACAAGAACTGAGTTGAACTATTCCTTTAGTTTTCAAGCTACAAGCTATCTTTAATTACATTCTGCCTTTATCACATATTATTCATTCTCCCTTGTTGTTTCCCTATTTATGTGCTTGAAGAGCTCTTAGATGTAGTTCCATTTAGTGCAAAAGGTACTAAAATGAAGGCGAGTCCATCTTTTTGTAATCCTCACTTTTCTTCAAGCCTTGACCTTCTCAGTGTACTTTTTCTTGAGGTTTGTGCTCATTTTGGATGCCTGCTTTGTGGTGATTTTTCATTGGGTCGTATCTTCCATGCACTTTTCTATCCCCTGGCCTGGAGGGGTTCCTGTTTTCGGTATTTACAGCACGTTGTAGTTGCAGCACGTTGTATTTACAGCACATTTACAGCACGTTGGTTGATGGTGAGACCCAGCATCGATACCACGAGTCTTGGCCTGAACAACCACTAGAAACAGGGGAGCGTCTTTTCATTTAATTTCCTCCAGGAAGAGGCAAAAACAAACTGATGGAGGCTGCGGTGCCAGGTTGGCTCTAGCAGTTTTTGCAGGACTTACAAAGCTCACACTCCTGGCCCCAACTGCAACGTGAGTGTAGAGGCATCCGTGCTGACCTCTAGTGTCACTGGGGCTCTGGAGCAGACACAGTCTGCCGCCCATGCTGGGATTTCTTTCTCAGTATATTTCTTTCTCAGCTTGAACACTCAGTATAGCTTTTCTCCTGGCTCTCTAGCAACTTGGAAATACAGTGACAGATTTTACAGGAATAGTATAGCTCCTATACCTGTTTCTTTTTACCTAGCTAATTTTAGACAGATGCTATGGGCAGTAATTGTTGCATTCATCATCCAGTGTTCCCTCAGAATTTCATTAGTAGATCAAATTTGTGTTTATAAAATTATTAAATACACTTCAATTCCCGAAGAAAAAAATTATCTTTATTACAGATACTTACTTTTCAATGCCTTGTGCATGCACCCCATGGCATCCCAGCATGAAGCAGAAATTAACATGCTGAGGTTGTAAATCCCAAAGCCCCAGTCATCAAGATTAGAGGACATGATGGAGCACATGTTCACGTGTATGGGTTTCCTTCCCCAAGAAAATAGAGCACCCAGCTGTCCTGATGGTCTGTGCTGTCCTGACATGCACGTAGAGCACAGCCAGTACCTGTCTTGCAGGTTTTGCACAGAGGAATAAACCTGTTGCTCAGCATGGACTGGGTTGTTAATGCTCATTCATACTAGAGGCAGTGAATCTTTGCATTTCTGTTTAAGAAACTTACAGTCTTTGATCCACGTTTTCCCAGGAAGGAAATGCACTCTTCTGTCATGGTTTCTTGAAAGAATGCTCTTTCCAACCTTCCAATTTTCTTAATTTCCAATTTCCAAGTTCCAGTAAGGACTATATAAAATGATATAAGGGAGTTGGGGCACTTGCATGAAGCCATCAACCTTTTCCTTCCTGGGAGCTAGGGATCATCTGAGCTGTGACAGCCAGGGGCTACGTTTGCAAGAAAGGACCCTTTAAGTTGCTTGTGAAGTCTCTGATGAGGCTTTGTCCAGTTTTCAGGTACTGGTCGTCCGGCATACGTAAAAATTGGATTTTAAAGCCGTAGCTCTGTTCCTTCTGAAAATTCATCCAAAGCTTCAGACAGGTGTCTTGGTTTACTAGATGTGTTTCTTTTGGTGTGATAGATAGCCAGCACTTAATTGTCAGCAAGAACGCTCCCTAATCACATATAATTATGCGTGTAAAAGTCAGCACTAGAAGACTAAATTAGAAAGGATCTTTTCATCCAGCCTCTTTCCTTAATTGCCCACTTTTATAAGTGATCCAAATCAACAAAATCTTTTTTATAACTTTTCCATGTTTTGTCAGCATCAGTTCTGGGTAATTATTTCTCTAGGGAGAACTGCCAGAATAGATATTTCTAGAGATTATTCGGACACTGAAAACCTCTGCGGGGTTCCCCAGGACAGCAGGGTTGGTAAATAAAAGATATTACCCCCGCAGACCAGGACTGCAGTATAAGTTTGGATAAATGCTGCTTCTGAATGATTTCCATATAAGTATCTGTGTGTCCGTGACATGAGTCGTGGACAGGCCTGACTGTTTGACACGAGGAGCAGCAGATACAAAACGTCCCTGCAGGTAGAGAGGCTTAAACAGAGGCAGTAAGAAAATAACATACATATGAGGAAAAAAGGAAATACCTGAGGAAACATTTTCTGACTCGCGGCAGAGACAATGACTAGAATTAGGACACAGAGACATAAAATAGGCAAAAAGAAAGAAAGAAAATGCAAGATAATTACCTCATATAAGTGGGCTTATCATTGTAAAAGGTGATGTGGTATGGCTGCAAGTTCAGGCAGTTGAAAATGGATAGCAAGCTCAAGGGATTTTTGTCAGATCTTCTAATCCCAGCAAGACTCCAGCCATGGAATTTACAGTCAGAATGATATGTTTATCCATATTCATCCATACTTATTTGAGAAATGTTGTCCAGCTATTGAACCCTTGTGCCCAGAGCTCAAGCTAGCAGGTCAAACAGCAGCCAGTGTTCCTGCTGCTTTGAAGTGTGATGTCCACAGCTGCCCTCCACATTACTCTGTCCTGCTGCTCTTGTCATTCCTGCGTTTTGTGCATCAAGCCACCTAGCTCTGAAACCTGTTTATCTGGTGACAAGCGATTTTTCTTCTACAAAATAGGTTGGCTGTGAACAAATTGAGAGTTAGAATAGATGTGAATAGATTACAAAACTCAGCATGCTGATAGCCAGCAAGGATACTCTGTTCTGCCCTGTGACTTAGCAATACGCTACACACCGTATTTCTGTATAAGCTGCCTTCCCCTCCGTTAAAAGGTAGGAAAAAAAGTACTCTGCCTTGGGTAGAAAGAAAATGGCACTGTGAGGAACTAGATTTTAAGTGCTGGCAAACGGGCTGATGTAGCAGCTTGTTGTGTTCACCTAGTTCTGACAACTCCCTGCAGCTGAAGCTGCAGATCAGCTGTGCTTTTTTGCCTCAAGTGGTGGAAATTTAAAGAACAAACCACAGCAAGTTTCTTCGCTGTAGCTTTGCTGAGCAAAGCATTTGTTTTGTTGGTAGTGATAAAGGGAAGTTTGGGAAAGGACTTTCAAATGAACCTTCACTCACCAATATTGCTGATGGGGAAGCAGAGGTAACTCAAGAGCTGTTTTTGTCAGGCCATAGATGCATCCTGATCTCATGGGTTCTTTCTGCATCCTTTCCAGTAGCCAAAACCATGCGTCCCTGAAACATACAGGATGAAAAAAGTACAAACTCTTCATAGTATCTCAAGAAGAACACAACCGTCATTACAACATCTTGTTTTTACTTCCATTGGTGCCTTTTTCCGTTCCAATCCCCAGTTCAACTGACTTTGCAAAGTAACTTTTAAAATGAAAGATGATATATAGCTTTAGACCATATATAGCCTGTGGCAGAATTTGAGCAGCACTGTCAGGTAGTGGAGAGAGAGAGAATACATAATTTTTATGTCTTTAAAACACTGTAACAAAAACTATTTAAAATCAAGAAAGCAATAGCCATGCTGTGCAGTGACTACAGTGAATTTTAAGATACTAATTGATCATTTCTGTCACATCTTGACTGCTGCGATGTGACATGAGTGCAAAATAGCTTTGAGGAAGAATGTGTCGGACTAACCTATTCCATCATAAGCTAGCAGCAAGAGCAGCTTTTTAACCTTCTATTCCCAGTGGAGGCACCTCGTTGTAAATGGGAGAACCTTGAACATAATTAGGAAATTATTATTCCATCAGTGTAAAGTCTTCTGTAAAGACTTGTACACAGATTTTTCTTAGCATGCTTTGAGGGAGGGCAGCACCGCAGCATAGAGTATCACCGTGGCAGTTGCACCAATTGAGGGTCTTCCTTCAGTGCAGACCTAGCACAGTCAGAAGGCTATTACTTATATACAGTTAATCATTTGCTAATATATTTTTATAAGCTTGTGTACGTGATCTTTTTTTCTAAATAGTAAATGAAATATGAAATACCTTTTTTTTTGGTTTTACTATTATGACCTATGAAAAAAATGAACGTACATTATTAAAATAGTATGGCAGTCAACAGTTACAAAATCTTTCCTTGAAAACTCACAGCAGATTGTGTGCACATTTATTTTCCTATTAACTAATTCATCATTTATTTAAGAGATGATAGCTAGGGAGCCTACTCTTTATTACCTGAGGTGCCCCCTTTTATGCGCTAGAATTTTCCTGGAGTGGGTTGTCCACTTTGTTTTGTTCTGTCTTAAGTCATTTTTGATTCCTTATTGTTGATGAGAAAAATGCACATGCCAATCCTATTAAAATAAGTCTGGGCTCAAGTTATTTGTGTTTTAACAATTGGCAAATCCCCAGGACTGCCAGTGGCAAAATCTTTAGTATTGACCTTCTGAAATTTTGAAGCATTTTCAAGCTTCATTAAGAATATATATTTTGATATTAGCATCTTTACCTGTAGTTCTTTTTTCTTGATTAGAGACACTTCTTAATATATTATTATATACTAGTATATTATCGTCTTATGAGCAAATATATTTGATTCTGTTCTTTCTGTTAATGTCTTATTTTACAGATTTTAGCTTTTATCTGTAGCCTACATTTACTTTTGAGTGATTTTTCCTTAATTAGGGATGACTGACATGTCTATGCAAATGTTATTTACAAATAATATTTCTGTTAAAATTATTCCAAATATATATATGTCCATCAGGATTAAATAAGGTGTCATATTTCATTTAATTCTATAACCTATTTTGAACACCCATTTTCTTAAAATGGGTGACATAGTTCAGATAAATCAATGCAAATCCTAGTGCTGTGAGTATTCTAAAGTGTTAATAAATCATCCTTTTCCCATGTAATTTCCTGTATTAAATGAACATTCATCGTTTTGGGTTTTTTTTTTTTTTCTTTTTTCTCTCTGTTATTTTTAATGGTTCAGATAAAAGGCTTGACAGCAGAGGCTGAAAACTCTTTTGAAATTCTCCCCAGTTGTTTGAGATCAAATTTCGTACTAATTTATGGAAGATGATGGAGCATATGCTGACAGTAATGGCTGTGCTGCAAGTGATGAAGAAAATGAGGCCCAAATAGGAGTGGCTGGTAGATGAATGCATAGTCCTACTTTTTGGCCAGGATTTCAGGTTTTAAATTATGTCACTGCTTTCTGCATCCATGTCTGCCTGCAACAAAAGAGGATGGAAAGTGTTTGTTTTTTCCAGCTTGCTAAGAGATCAGCAAATGGCTGATGGCAAGAAAACTACTTGATGGTGCACTGCTTCATGACACTAACTGATCATAGCAGAAGCAGAAGAAAAACATGTTATTTTGATTCATTAAAAGCCTCAAACAGTTATTACAGGATGTGCCAGTTGCAGCTCTTATTCTGCAGGGAGCACCCTGCGAGTGGAGTCCTCCCCTGGCAGAAAGCCCTGCTGCTTTCAGAGGGAAGCTCTGGAGTCTGCCTTGCCTTTTGATCTGGTAGGGAGGTTTTAAAGTCTAACTTCTTCAGCCAGATGTCTTTTTCCTCTTGACAAGACCTTTCTTGGGCTGGCAAGCCTCATATTTCACTGAATCACAGAATGGCTGAGGTTGGAAGGGACCTCTAGAGATCATCTAGTCCAACCCCCTGCTCCAGCAGGGACACCCAGATCACGGGGCACAGGGCGGCATCTAGGCGGGTTTGGGAGACCTCCAGAGAAGACTTCACAGCCTCCCTGGGCAGCCTGTTCCACGGCTCTGTCACCCTCCCAGGAAAGAAGTTCTTCCTCACCTGGAGATGGAACTTGAGGTGTTTCAACTTGTACCCGTTGCCCTTTGTCCTGTCACTGGCCACCACCAGGAAGAGTTTGGCCTGTTCCTCCCTACATTCCCCCTTCAGGTATTTATACATATTGATCAGATCCCCTCTCAACCTTCTCTTCTCCAGGCTAAACAAGCCCAACTCATTCAGTCTTTCCTCGTGTGATAGATTTGACCAGGTTGCAGAGAGAAGTTATTCTACCCTTCGGTAGAATCACTTCCCTTTCCTTCCCTTCATTTGGTGGCTATTTCCATCTCCAGACGTATTTCATGGTAGGTATCTGCCACTGTCAGTTTTGTGCCTGCAGGATGGGATTGAGAGGGACCCATCAGCACAGCTGCAACACCCTCTCTGTGCCCATGGCCTTGAAGGTGATGTACCCCCACTGAAACAAATCACGTCTGGGCTGTACTGACTCAGGCGATCAATATCCCAAGCTGTGCTCCTTGAGCTGCCAAGGGAATATCACAGCAGTATCGATGGTTTTTAAGCCACAGATAGGTTATTAAGAAAAGACAAACCTGAGTAAATGTTTCTGTTCGTGTACTCTCAAAATGGATTGAATTTTAAATAACTGAGCTTAGCTAAATTATTCCTAAAGGCAGCTTGAATTTAGAAGAGTTTGGAGATTAGAGTCTGTGTGCAGATTGTGGTCGTCTCATTAACACAGGTCAAAAACAGCACAACTGTGCAAAGGGAAAAAAATGTGAAGAACTTAAAGAATGACTTACTTCTATAAATACCAAATAAGGTTCCAATAGCCAAGATAATTTAGTGGCTTTACAAATAGAAGGGACTTACGAGTATCATTGGACCTTTTGTGTAGCAAAAAGTTCTTCTGCTTATAGGAAAAACACATGAAGCCATAGAATCCTTGGCTCCTAGTTCTAGGTACATTATACACATACCAAGCACTAGTTTAACATTATCCAGAGAGAAAATCAATTAAGTTACAGATTTTGGCTGCCCTCCTGGAAAGAATGAAAGGAATTCCATTTAATTCCCTGTACATCACATTAGTGGCTTAAATATAAGGTATCCATATGTCATTTATCAAAAAACAATCTTTATATTATTCCATAAATTGTTTAAGATTAATGAGGTACTGTTGGAAGCTATAACATCCCCTTTCAGCTGGGTAGTTAAAATGTTGGGTTACATACTCATGTAGATACTCCTGTAATGAGTTAACAAAAGTACTACTCTGTTGGATTGATTTGTTTCTAATAACATACCAAGGTGATGGAAAACTGATAACTTGTTACCATGTTATAATCAAAGATTTCTTTAGATGAAAGTAGTGGTGTTTCAGTATGTGCTGGAAATATGGAAATGTCCTTTATGAAAGATACGCATCGTCAAAACATAAATGGATTACCAAAACAGATACCAGCAACACTGAGAAACAGATACCACTTGAAAGGTTTTGGCAGGGGAAAACAAGACGTGTGTGTTTGGAAAAAAAATGATTCAATGACTCCAGTCTTTCTTTTGCCAAAATATATCTGCAGGAAGGAAGGGAAAGGA